GTATGAAACTTCCCTATTCTTTTGGTTTGCCTTGTAGTTTCTGATTTTAATTTATCCCATGGTTTTGACTTGGATTTGGGTCCCCCCGCCCTCTTTTTTTTCTTTTTTTAAACCAATCTCAGGTGTCTCAGGAAGAGAACAGGCACAGGAGAGAAGGACTATATCTCTAGCATTGCTCTTCACGTCTCAACCTTCTTGTGATGGTAGGGAAGGTATATATTAAGGAGAAGAGTCCTTATATTTTCTTTCACTGATACTGTGAAACAGAAGAACTAAGCCTTGAGGCAGAAAGAGATACAAAAAGAGCCCCAAGTTTTCTCTTTGTACTACACACTCTGTGGGGAAATAGTAGTATTGCACCTTTCTATCTTCCCCCTTTCTCTCTGCTCATAAAACTTAATGAGATATTAACGTTTGAGTTACAGCTCTCTCTATAGTTTATTCTATATGCTTTAAAAGGTGTTTGATGGCTAAGACAGCCTCCAGAGACATTTTACGGCCCCTCACAGCTATTCCAGCGTGGGCTCTGCTGTTTTCTCTTTCTGAAGAGCACAGGATAATTTTGGCAAGTTATCAAGGTGCCTGTCTTTCTAAATATTTCCCTGATACATAATTCACCACTCGGTTCTGACTCTTTGCACCTTGTAAAAGCAAGAGGTGTGGAGGGGGGAGGGGAAGGGAATATACCACTGAAATATTGTGCTTTTTCACTGAAAGAGTGAGAAGATAAGAATCCTGAACCACTAGAACCCACTTCTTCTGGCGATCACAGAACTGGTAGAATTCTGCAGAGCCACCTGCATTGAACTATCACTGTTTTCTTCACTCCTCTGTAACACATCATTGCCCTCATCTTGTTGCCAAGTTCTCCTCTTTTAAAGATGCTTCATTAAAATTGTACTACTGTACTGCAAGTTCCTGGACGGCCATTCTTTAGGGCAGGGATGCTGAACTGCTGGTGCTGCTGACTTCAACCCCTGTAATCCATAATTGCTGGCCATTTTGGTTGGTACTGATAGGAACACACATCCAGCAGTCTTTGGAAGACCAACTTTATCCCAGCTTTGGAGGAAGGAGCACAGTATAACGGCTATGCTCTGCATGTTTTGAATGCAGAAGATCTTAAGATCAACTTTTGGATCTGGTAGCAAGGATTTGGTAACAGATGACATGTTTCAAATGTACCTGAGACTAGGAATAGCAAGTCCTTGTCAGAATAAATAATACTAGACTAAATGGAAAAATGGTTGGATTGAATATGTAGCAGCTTTCTGTTCCAGTGGTCAGTTTCATCCAAAGATCACTACAACCTAAATTTCAGAGTAGGCAAGCACTGGAAATGCAGCTCCACTAGTGGTATTACAAAGAAAGAGGGTAAGCAAGGGATTTCCTCTTTGTTTCTCTTCTCTCTGCTCTGCTTTTTCCTAATGATATTAGGCTCTCCCTTCATCTGCTTCCTAAGGAAAAGGAGTATTTTCTTCTCCCTCTCTCCCATTTATAGATATTTTTGTACTTCTTTTGGTTAATTGTCTGCATTTTGTTGTATTTATATTGTTGTGAGCCGCCCAGAATTGGTTGGAGATGGGTGGCATCCAAATCAAATCAAATCATATAACAAATAAATAAAATGGCCACCCACCTAACCAATGAAACTCTAGGAGCATAATGAGGCCACAAAGCTCAGAGAGGCAAGATTTTATTGGAATGTGTTAACTTCCGTAATAAACTTCACTTGTCCTTTTGGACTATAAGCATCTTTCTGTAGATACTCTACATGGGCTTGGTTCTGCTTACACAGATATGCACTGATAAATATAGGCCCTAATAAATGAACTGGAGGGTTCTAACCAACATTACCATAACATTTTTACTACACTGAGTGAATGAATCTTTAGTGCATGTATAAATAAATAGATTCATGTTTACAGCAAGGGCATTCCATCAGGCAGTGAGAAAGAAAAGAGAAGTAGGGTCATGTCAGTCCTATGGAGAAGTCAACTACATCCAGTTCCTCCCTCTATGAACTGTCACTTGGGAACAAATGTTCCATCAGGTTGAATTAAGAAAAGAAAGGAAGCAATGGGAAGCAGAAATGTGCCATCTCTGCTGAGAGTCTCATAAATTTCAGTTCCTTCTTAATTGTAAGAATTAAATTACAGGCTTTTGTATTTAATCAACAGAAAAACATAAAAGCATACAACAGTAGTGAAAGACAAAGAAAGAAGAAAGCAACACAACAACATCTATGGAGATG